GAATTTGAAAAAAAACATATTCTAGAAAAGACGAGAAGGAAAAAAATATAATTATCCTTACCAATATTTATGTTTTTTGATATTTCTTGATTTTGAGTTTCAACAGTAATTGGTTGAACGGTGGGTGAATTGTCATCTATTGTACCAAGAAGGTCAAGTAGACAAACTTCATTATCTGTAGGTATATGCCCAGCAAAAGAGCCTCCATTCATAGCCGGGGCCATTTGGATGGAGCTATTAGGAGTGCCCGACACTGCCATTGGCCCTCCAAGTATATTAAGTGCACCGCTGACTGAAGGAGAACTCACTGCCACACTGTCGCTAGTAGCTATCGTTGCAGGAGATTCCTTCTTTAAACTGAACTCCAGCCCACCTGAAGGAATAGGATCAGTGCCATCAAGGCCTAAGCAACCAGTGGAAGATACCTGAACGCTTCCAGCCAGTCGAGATTCAACAAGTGGCATGCATTCGAACAAGCCTATACGAAGGTGCTCAGGCTGCTCAAAGACCTGAGTGAACTCCACAGAACGTTGCTGAAGCTCTAAGTGGCAGCAAGTCGAATAATGGCGAATCATCTCACGGATTCGGCTTTATTTTGAGAAAAAAATATTGTATGAGTATATGCTTAAAATGTAAAAAAATATATTCATGATTAAAGATATGAAGACCAAGATGGTGCGGCCTTTGGTGTGGTCGCAGTCTCCTTTCGTTATATAGAAGTTGTTTGACCTTGTTTTCGTAACCTGGTCATATTGGTTGGAAGACTAGAGGAAAGCATCTAGTCCAGAGTCCATTGTATGCATGCAGTCAGACCGTGGACGTGGACGTGGACATTCCTAGACGTATCGCCGGCATCGTCAGTAATCTTGCAATTCTTAGCATTATACTACAACTCGTCAAAGAGAAAAGTGAAGCCGACCTTTGACCAATTGTGTGATAAACAGTTGTGTTATCTTTCCTTCTGTCCTGGGCTAGTTACCGATCCTATATCCTCGTATCACTCCTTCATTATCACAATTATTTTCCTTGCTTATTAAAATGTAATGTAGTATGCGATTTTGAGCGGATTTCATGAGAATCCTCTACATTCTCCGCTGTCGTTCTAATTCCCCTTCATCCTTGTACTGGTAATGTTGATCAGAGTCTGCTATATTGTTACAGAGGGAAGTGGGGAATGAAGGGTTCTTATAAAAGCCGCTCAAAATGGCACACCAAACTATATTTAAATAAGCAAGGAAAAATTGTGATTGTGAAGGCGTGATACGAGGATATAGGAGAGGAGAATAGCCCAGGACAGAAGGACAGATACCACAACTGTTTAGAACACATTTGCTTCACTTTTCTTTTAGACAAGTTGTAGTGTGGTGCAAAGAATGGCAAGATTCACTGACGATGCCAGCGAAACGTCTGGGAATGTACAACGTCCACGGTCCGACTTTGTAAATCATCATGCATACAATTGACTCCAGACTAGGTGCGTTCCTCTAAGTCTTCCTACCAATATGACCAGATTGCGAAAACAAGGTCAAA